GTCCAAGGGGAATATCATGTGGACAGAATTAGTTGAATCTCTTAATTTAGAGATGAGGATTCTGGAACTCAGCGTTACTGACTTGGAAGCAAGAGGCTGCCAGATTCTACTTTCCCCTCCTCTGTGGGTGACTCTCATGTCACTCAGTTTCTCTGAGTTTGGATAGCCTTGTGTGTAAAATGAGCTCAGTCTTGAGTACTGGGGAACCTACCACAATTCTCCAAGATCTGCCTGGAGCACAAAATTAGCCAGGCTAATTTTAAGGCAAATAGCTTCAATTTTCTACTTCCTACTAGCCCCCTAACTTATTTAACCCTGCATTCTGTCTCATTTCTTTTTCATTTTGGTGGGAAGGGGTTGTTCTGTTTGAGAAAGGCTTTCTCGTAGCCCAAGCTGAGCCAGAACTCACTATGCATCTGAGGATGACCCTGAACACCTAATCCTCCTGCCTTCACCTCCCAAGTGCTAGGATTAAAGGCTGTCGTTTCAGAACAGCCCTGCCAAGTTCGCTTGCATCCTGTGGTCTGTTCTGACCTTTTGGTCCTTTTCTTCCAGATTCATAAGAGTTGATAACTGGCATTTTCTCATTCAGTATACACATTTACTGCATTTATCAGTGGAAATTTTCATGAAAGTAGGGTACTTCTGCAGAAAAGCAGAAGTAGAGCCCAGAAAGGAATTTCCACCGAACTGTAAAAGAAACTTAGCTTCTTTGGAGAGTTCCCTTAGTACCTTATCAGCAACAGCCACTGTGAGATGCAAAGGGCAGCAGCTAGCAGTCCTCAGTCCCAGGTTGATGCATCTTCCCACCCTCCACTGCCCTTTCTCTCAGCAACACATGGGTTGGTTGGCTTATTACACCTCCTTTTCATTGGTTCTTCCACCTCAAGTCACATGCAGCTGCTCTTGTAACTGGCTGATCTGTTGTCAGGGTAAAGGCAGCATAGTCATGTTGCTTTCCCAGATGTGGTATCCTCTGACCTTGAACTCCTGCCCCTTTATCCCCAATTCTGTCACCTTGACCTTCCTTCTACACCCCAGAGACTTCCTCCTTCTGTGATTGCACAGTAAACAAAACAGATAATCAAAGGGTTAGCTGGAGACCCCGGGGTTCTCATTTTTGGACCATTTTAGCCTTTGGCTAGACTTCGTACAATTCATGAAGGCAAGGCAAAATTGTGGAAATTTGGCTTTACTCAATCAAGAACATGCATATCCTCAAAAAACTGAATAAGAGAGCATAAATTTCTGACAACTAAATCTATCTACTCATGCAGGTAGGTCTGGTTTTGATATAAATGAAACTGAGGAGATTGTCAGAACAACCCCAGACTGCCACCTATGCCTGAAATTCCACAAGTAAAAACTATTCCTTTATAAATTTCCTTATCTGAACTCCCCCTCCCCCATGTTAAAATAAAAAAAAGCCCTATAGGGAACAATATATGGTATAGCACATCCCAAATCTGTCCTGAAAGAAGAGGCATAAAAAATTTTCTTTTTGATTAAATAATTTTAGAGATATCAACATGTTTTCAATCTGAGGAAGGTGGAATAATGTCCCTGGACAAATATCCATGTGCTAATCCATGATACTTATGAATATGTCACCTTTTATGGCCAAAGGGATATGGCAGATGTAGTTAAGGTTCAGGATTGGGAGATGAAAAGGTTATGCTGAATTGTCTTGGGTGTCCCATCTAATCACATAAGCCTTTGAAAACACAGAACATTTTCTGACTGTAGTCAGAGAAAGTGATGAGATGATGGAAACCTGGCCAGAGAGATGCTATATCCCTGGCTTGAAAATGGAAGAAGCAGACCATGAACTAAAAAAGAAAGCCAGTGAAGCCTCTAGAAACTGGCAAAAAAGAAACACATTCTCCCAAAGCATCTCTAGAAAGAAAGACAGCTCTGCTGATGCCTTTGTCAGTCCAGAGAAACGTGTCAAACTTCTCATTGATGAAACTGTATAAATTTGTATCATTTTAAGCTTCTGTTTGCGGTGTTTCATTACAGAAGCAATAGGAATCGAATGTCCTGATAGCCTTGGAGATTCATGGTGCATTTTGGCATATTAAGACCCATAGAGAGATGTTCACTTAACCCAGAATTTCAGAAACAATTGAACACTAAATCAAACACACCTCTGTCCACCTGTAACATCTATTAATGTCTTAGAATATAGTGTAGTGGGCTGGAGAGATGGCTCAGCAGTTAAGAGCTCTGGCTGCTCTTGCAGAGGACCCAGGTTCAATTCCCAGCACCCACATGGTGGCTAACAACCATCTGTAATTCCAGTTCCAGGGCAGTCCAATGCTCTCTTCTGACCTGCGCAGGCATTGCACAACACAGGTGCACTTACATACATGCAGGCAATACACCCATACACACAAATTAAAAATAATAAATAATAAATATTTTTAAAAAGAATATAATGCAGGCTGGAGAGTTGGCTCAGCAGTTAAGAGCACTGGCAACTCTCGAAGAGGACCTGGGTTTGAATTCCAGCACCCACATGGTGGCTAACAACCATCTACAACTCCAATTCCAGGGGATTTGTTCCTCTCTTCTGACTCCACAGGCATTGCATGGCATGGGTGTACCTACCTACATGCAAGCAATACACTCACACATAAAATTAAAAAAATAATTTTTAAAAAAGGGGTTGGGGACTTTGCTCAGTGGTAGAGTACTTGCCTAGAAAGTGCAAGGCCCTGAGTTCAGTCCTCAGCTCTGGAAAACAAAAAAAGAATATAATGTAGAAATATTGCACTGTGATTTAAACTGTTAGGAACACCTTATCTTTTTTTTTTTTTTTTTTTTTTTTTTGTAAAAAAAAAAAAAAAAAAAAAAAAAAAGAGGACGATAAATCTTTCACTGTGATATATCAAAATAA